GCACTCAGTCTCAGTGACTCTAGTCCTGCATTCAGTCTCAGTGAATCCAGTCCAGCACTCAGTCACAGTGACTCCAGTCCTGCATTCAGTCAGAGTGAGTCCAGTCCTACACTCAGTGTCAGTGACTCCAGTCCAGACGACCTCACACACAGAGCAGCAGCTCTCCTTTATCGCAATCACAGGCTACAGAGAACCAGCAGCAAAATGAACACTGTACCTCTCCTGCTTTGTGTTCACAGCGGGGTGGAGGCACACAGGAAGTACCCAGAGAGCTCCGAGATGAAAGATGACCGGCCCAAGCTGTCCCTGAGGAGGTTCCTGTCTGCCATCGGACACAGCACAGTGGGCAGGCTGAGCAAAGGCCGCTCCAGTAGCATGGAGCAGCTGAGCGTCTCTCCCAGACACAGCGCAGGCTCGCCCAGCTCCTCGCAGAAGCCTTGCGGCCAGCTGAAGAAGGCCCCATCCCTGCAGTCGCTGCGGCTGGTGAGTGGTGCTCATGCCTAGCAGCTACAAAACAGTTCGGCAAGTCAGTGGTTTTAGGGTTAGTGACAGGGTTATGGTTCAAGGTTTAGATGTGGAGACATAAGGTTAGAGTTGGTTTTAGAGTTAGTGGTTTAGGATTAAGGTAAGGTTAAAATGGCTGTGCCAGACGAGCTGCTTTTTCTATGTTTCTCAGCAACATGGTAATGCTTAAGCCTCATGCTAGGACCCAGTTCAGGTCACAAGTATGTGCTTGTCACTCTGAGGAAATTATTGAAATTATTATCGCCTGCTGCTACATGCCAATAAGAAAATTGTGCTTCAGTTTATTCGTGCTACATCTTGGTCCTTGGATTGAAGTACATTTGTCTTCCTTTTCGCCTGAGAAAATGCTCTCGCTAAAGTGTCACACAGAAGACAAAAAAGTGTGTTGTGTGACCCAATAATGTGGACACAGCATGATGGGAGTGTAGTGGCCACACCTGTCAGATTTAAAGTTGTATCCAATCCAGTTTTACATTACGATCGACCTCATTACTCAGAAGAGCTGCAAAATGTTTCCTCCTTCAGTGGGAAAGGGGGCGCAAGAGGTGTATTCCAGTGCCGAGTCTTGTCTTCATCAGAGGTGAAGCTGTCAGTGCTGTGGGCAGCTTAGCATGTGCACACTGTACCTGCCAAAGCCCCCCTCTCACTAAAGGAGGAAAAATCCATCTGGATTCACCTCCCTCACGAGACAGCTTTGTACAAATGTCTCACTGAAAGCAGTCGCATTTACACTGGGCCAGTGTTCAGCCAGTGTTCAGCCCGTGCTCAGTTGGTGTTCAGCCTATGCTCAGCTGCTGTTTAGCTTGTGCGCAGACGGTGTTCGGCCTGTGCTCAGCCAGCGTTCAGCCTGTGCTCAGCCAGTGTTTCAGTCTGAGTTCGGCCTGTGCTCGGCCAATGCTCAGCCTGGGCTCAGTCGGTGTTTAGATTGTGGTCAACCGCCGTTCAGGCTGTGTGCATACAAAGCAGAGAGATCCAGTCACACGACGTGATACAACACCTCTTCTCTGGAGATGAAGTGTGGCCTATTCAGAGATCGCTCCAACAGATGTCCATTCAAAAGGAAGGATGAACTCAACATTGAACTGAGAACAAGTCGACACTTTTGGCCCTTATTAAATCATGATACGCAGCTACCAAGAATCCTGATTAGAGTGGGATTCGATAACATGTTCATATAATTGAAAATCAATTAACATAACTGTGCTATAGTGCCAAGTTTCCATTTAAGCATTTTATGATTAACGTGATTTAACACTTCATCATCAAGGCTCACACACCGCGTTCAAAATCACTGTGCAGGCAGGACACTGTTGGAAGTGGTTTTTAATAATCGGTTAAACAAAAAAACTCATATATCTTTTATCTCCGTCAAGAGCCGCAGAGAGCTGCACTAGAATAATAGCAACTGAACCAGACACTGGAGGGAATAGTAATAATCTATTTGAATGAAAATTTTTCTTTGGCCCATTTTTATATCCCTGTCAGTGAAGGTAACCCTAGTGTCCCAGTTAAAGTCTATTGTGGGCTTGCACAATCTAACATATCTACAGTTTCTCCTTAATTCACCTGGTGAAGCAGTTTCTCACTCCACCTCCTTATCTGCTGTGTGTGAGTCCCCTCCTGTATGGCCTTTAGAATAAAAGGTATTACGTAAGGACCAAGTAATTATTGCAATTAAATTTACACTTGAATGGAACCTAAAGCCTGCTCCGCGTCATGAGCAATCTCTAAAAGCAGTAATTTCACCTTTTTACCACCAGGGGTCTCCCTTCACCCAGCTACGCAAGGCGTCCTCGGTGCAGAGTTTGCAGTCCCCGAAGAGGAAGGCAGATCGCTCCAGTGCCTATATGGTGGGAGAGCCAGCGTCTTTCAGCCCGACACACAGGTACAGACTGGCACCGACGTCCACTTCCCAACTCTTTAAATTACAGAGACTGAGAAAATACTGCAAACAGCTGGGAACACTGGCATGACACTGCATAAGTCACCAGATGGATCGATTCTTTCAGTTTAGATAAAGATAAAGATTTTATTCTCCTTTGGGGGAAATTTGTTATGGGCACCCAGCACTCCTGTACATTTAATAGAATGCAAACAAAAAAGAAGAAGAAAAGAAAAACATTGCACTTATTCTTTTACAAAAAATAAGAAAAACATTGCACATCACTCTATTGTACATGTACAGTAAAACACATTACAACATGTAACATTTATAATACATCAGTAGTAATTTTATATTTAAAATAATGTGGTATTACAGTGTGGTTTGGTCATCTATCAGGTCATTTAAAATCGCAAATTACCCGCCTCATCCAGACAGCTTTGGAGGTCATGGAGGAGGAAGAGCTGAAGTCCACCCTTTCAGTATGTCATTATGAGCGTAACCACAATCAGTGATTTAACCTTGCAGTTTTAGAAGCTTCTGACTTCTGCTTTTTCCTTCCATTTAATTTTACTTGAGCATGAATAATCCTTTTTTTTTTCCTCTGAGCCGACTCCTTTATTTGATCCTCTTTCCAATCAAACATCTTGTTCAGATTCCTAATTCTAACTAAGGGGGATTTACTTTCAGAAAGAAAAATCTTGTACCAACCCAGTTGAGCTGGGTTCAGGCAAAATAAGATCAGAAGATTATTTTTAGTGACTGGAAAAGCCACTTTTTTTTTAGCAACATTTCCTTTCTTGTCTTGTGACTGTTCCCTGGCCTATTGGTCACAACAGTCCCAGTTGGCCAACCTATCGGTCAATGTGGTTCAGTCTCAACTGTTCAGTATTGAACCTGCCACTGTGAAAAGTCCCTTGGTGCTTCCGTCTCGGCACACTCTGTTACAAAGTTGCCACATTTCCTTGCTCGTTTAATAAACAAAAGTAATCGTTCCCCTATTTTTTAATCCTGAGCCGGCTGGCCCAATCTCTCCTTCCTCTGTGCCTGGGCTCCGTTTCTCCCCTCTTCCTGCAGGGCTGGGTGTGTTCAGTCAGTGTGCAGTCACTGGGAGTGTACAGGAAGCCGCTCAGCCCAGAGCTGGGAGTTGTTTTTCCAGCTTTCTCAACCCTTAGAGCTTCCTGGTCCCGAGGCCACTCTGCCAAGCTGAGTTCCTTGAGAACTGCGGCTTTCTGTCCCGGCTGAATGACTTATACTGACCTATCATTTCACTGCTTCAGTTCAGTGGCATTACTGCAGGATGCCTTGAAATCAAAGACCTAAACCCTGTACCTGACTGTAGCCTCACAGGCGTGCCCCGGCTGAAATAGTCTGACAGGAAAGTCAGAGGTTAGGGGAAGGCAGCACCCAGGTTCCCACCAACACCCTAGGCACAGACGAAGCGCGGAAGCACCGTTCCGGCGATAGTCGTGGCAGGGCCCCTCCACGCGCTTTCCCGGGACAGCCCGGACGTACCTCCCGACAGCCGGACCGTTCGGTGCTGCGTGAGGCTGTTCAGCTACGCCTGGCATGTGGAAGCAGCTGGGGTTGCGCAACGCTGGAATATTTTCCATCCGTTCCCGCTGTGGAACTGCGGAGGCGTCTGCCGGGAATAAAAATAGCTTCGCCTTCCCTGAGTTGTGGAATGTAAAAGGCGTTGTGGAAAAAAAGAGCATAAAACCTTCTTCCCTTTTGCACTGCGGATCTAAATATGATTCCCCAATGCTAGAAAACAATCGCTTGGCAGACACCCACACCCATCCATGCGTATAAAAATAAAATCTTGGACCTTTGTATGTAGTGTGTAATGAAGTGTCTCTGCTGCTTAGCACTTAGTGAGAAATTGCCGTTATCGTGCTGCCTGGAGAGGTGAGCTGGCTCCAGTTGTCAAAGCCCAGAATGTGGTTAAATCTCAAGAAAAGGAAAAGCAGGCCTGGCTACTTTCACCCTTCCCCAGAGCTGAAGCCTGCTGGACTGTGGCACCGCAGGACCTGACTTAGGACCCCTGGCCAAGAGGTTAACTGAAGCACTGCAGCTGCCCGCTGGCTGATGGGAAGCATAAACAACTGGCCGAAGAATAACTGGCAGGCTAATTCCGGGACTCAAAGCAAACAAAAAGAAAAAACAAAAAGGGTGCGATGGCCCCTTTAAGACTCTGTTCCTGCTCCCACTTCTCCACACTTCCATCAGGATATAAAAACAGTTCCCACAGCAGGGGGGGGTCAGTGTGGTGACAGTCAGTGCAGCAGCACCAGACTGGAAGGAGCAGGGAATTTCCTCGCCCTCCGATTGGACTTGCTGTTACATCACCACACACAAGGGCCAATCAGAGACCCCAAGCTATAAATGGCAGACAATAAACAAGGGAGGAAGAGTGGGAGGCATTTCATTCCAGGGCTGGAGCCTGGCCCAGAGGGCACAGGGCTAGCTACTGTTTAACTGCCCTCCTCATCTGCTCCTAAATTTCTTCCAGGATGTTTCTGCCATGTGGCATGTTTGTCTTCAATCTTGCTGTTTCCACAGCCGGCCCCTTGCAATTACTGCCTTCTGATACTGTTGCTAAGGCAGCGCTTGTTTACACTGATAAGTAGTTAAGTGATACTGGAAGTGATTGTGCACACATCTTTAGGCCATAGCCCAGCAGAGGAATTGTTGAGACCAATGTGTATGCATTTTGCACCTTTTTGTCTCACCTGCTATCTACCCCACTCAAACATAGTGGGATATCACCATTGTGAGGACATCGTAGCTCCTCCTTTTGACTCTCATTCTGCTTTTATTTGCTGTCTGTACTCTGACTGATTGAAAGTCCTCTGTTGGGTGAAAGTAGACCCGAACTGAACAGTTTTAAAAAAAGACACCATTTATAAAAGAAATGTATAGAAAGAGCGCAGCTGTTACTCACTTTCGTTGTGAAGATGTGTTTTTTATCGAAATAGATCCTCACTCATTTAGTAATACTTGTGGCCAATGCCCCACTCTCACACACAGTCACACACAGCCACAGACTGACACATCAGCTCTGCCCCCACTCACTGATCTCTCCTCTTCAGCCTTTCATAAAAAAACTGCTCTGATGAGTTTTTTTTTATTGTATATTTGTCTCATTTCCATTCAGTTGTAGTTTTGCTAATACTAAGTCCTAAGTTACTTGGTACTAAGACCTCTGGAAATCTTCTGGGGCAGAAGCACTGAATTTTTTTATACATACTTTTTTTTAGAATTCATTTGACAGATGTTTTTTTAAAAAGCAACTTAAATTATATTGAAATTACAGTTAAAGGCCTGAATGTGAAGAGTGAGCATATTATTAAATCATGATAAAATCGTGCCCATCTTCAGTACAAACACAAAAGTACACCAAATAATATACAGACACAAACCTAATTTTAATTACGCCTGGACACAGAGTTAATTAGAAATTCCCTTCTCCGCACCAACACAAGGTCAGCATGACTTAGTAAATTCTGCTTTACTTCAACTGAATCTCAGAGTGAGTGTGTTTTAAGAGGAACTGAAGAGAGATCTAAAGCAAAGCAGACTGAGGCACAAAGCTCACAACCCACAGGCTCTCAGTGTTGAATTTAAACTAGCCAAGTTCCTGGCCTCTCTGGCAGGGTCTAGCGATGAAAGGGCAGGGAGTTTCCCCAGACCATGTCCTCCACTCCTCCACCTTTCCGTCTGACTAACTCATCCCTGACCCTCCCAGCTGCTTCACAGCAGACAGACAGCTTTAAAATGCAAAATTATATTGTAGAACATCCAGACCACTTATTGATTTTAAACAGAGGGTACATATCATGCCCTATGACATACAGACACGGAATGACTGAAGGAAGAAAGTATCAGCTGGATTTAAAGAACCAAGCTTAGAAGGAATGTCAAGATCAGGTCATTCAACCCCAGCAACCTCGCCGTTTGAGAATATTACGATAGCGGATCATTGAATCCACTTCAACCCATTGAAGCTCAGCAGGGTCGAGCCTGGTCAGTTCCTGGATGGGAAACCTCCTGGGAAAAACTAAGGTTGCTGCTGGAAGTGGTGTTAGTGGGGCCAGCAGGGGGCGCTCATCCTGTGGTCCATGTGGGTCCTAATGCCCCAGTATAGTGACGGGGACCATCCTTCAGATGAGATGTAAAACCAAACTCTCTGGTCATTAAAAATCCCGGGACGTTTCTCGAAAACAGTAGGGGTGTAACCCCGGCGTCCTGGCCAAATTTCCCATTGGCTCTTACCATTCATGGCCTTGTAATAATCCTTATATATGAATTGGCTTCATTACTCTGTTCACCTCCCCACTGAGAGCTGATGTGTGGTGAGCGTTCTGGTGCACTATGGCTGCCGTCGCATCACTAGGTGGTGTACACACTGGTGGTGGTAGAGGGGTCGTCCCCATTACCTGTAAAGCGCTTTGAGTGGAGTGTCCAGAAAAGTGCCATGTAAGTGTAAGCAATTATTATTGTTAAAGGGCTGTTCTGTGAGGGTGTGTTTATGGCTCTCAACATCCCTTTGTGTGGATGCATCTGTGTGTGTCCTGCAGGGGGCTCCAGCGAGCGCTCAGTGTGGAGGATGTGGGCTGTCCTAGTGGGGTGCGGACCGTGGGCCGGGTTGCCCAAGCCTTCCCAGATGGGACTCTGCTCCTGGAGCTCAGCCGGCCGGCAAACGGACCCTTCGGATTTCTCATCTCGCGGGGGAAAGGCCGTCCGGACTCAGGTACCATTTGTGTCGGTTTGGATTTTTCCCAAGATGGAAGGGTCCCAAATTTCTTCCTCTTCACTGCAAACCAGGGGCGCCGTGAAGGCAGCCCTTGCTACATTCCAAAACAAGTGATACGTCAAGAAAAATACCAAACAGGCGTGGACAAACAAGCAGTCTGCTCCAGGTCCCGTTCAGTCCTCCCCCGGATCGTCTTGTGCTGGAGGCTAACGAGTGTGAGCGAAGCTACAATAGCAGTGTACACCTAATCTGAATTATCCCTAGGCTCAGTTAATTGTGGAGTTAGAAATTCCCTTCTCCGCACCAAGCGAGGGCAGCACGACAAAGACAGAGCCAGCTTTTTTCCCGTGCAGCTACATTGGCTTTTTCGAGGTGTTGGTGAGTAAAACAGTTCCTTGCTTTGCCAGGAGTGTATGTGGAAGAGATGGGCGACAGCGGCACTCAGAAGCTGTACGCAGGGCTCCTGGGCGTGGGCGACGAGATCCTGGAAGTGAACGGGGAGAAGGTGGCCGGCCTGTCGCTGGAGGAGGTGACCTGGCTGATGACCCAGCACACCACCACCTCCATCCGCGTGCTGCGCCATAGGAGGAGTCCGCAGTAGCCAGGGGGATGGCAGAGACGGAGAGAAACCAGTCCCCGGATCCCCCAGAAGCACATCTGTTCTCCTCGGCTGGTGGGGTGACTAAGGTACAGCCACAGGCGGAGGCCAGGGCAGGAAACAGACACTGGCGTTCGGGGAGTGAGAATTATCAGTCCAGGTCATTTGCTGAACAAAGCTTCAAGGACAGCAATTGCTTTCAGCTGTTTCTCGCCCTGGATGTTTCCTCCAGGCTACAGCACTGTATGTATTGACTATATTCTTGAAACCCAGACTCTCAAATAATTTCAGCGTACTTTTTCACTGTGCTACTCACACCTGAGGTCCAAAAAGTAACCATTATTTTCTGTAATACCTGCTTGTGAGCCGCAGGTGAATCCCTGTGTCTGGGAAGATCAAACGCAGTTTCTGAGGAGTACAATCCAGCCACTCTCTGCACTACCCAGTTAGATCAACACTACTTGCGGTTCTTATTCCTGGATATACAGTGTTGTTTCTGCTTAAAACATTTGGGCTTCATAAGAAATGAATGTAAAAACACAGCAATGACAAAAGGCTGGGAGCAGTGGAAAACACGTTACAGATACTGTACACATTTCAATGAAAAGCCAGTGCAAAGCAGTCATGAATAATAGACCAAAAATGGCATCTAGGTTTTGCCTGGCCCCCAGCTCATACACATTCCAGGCTGGGGAGGGCAGGTGTTCAGGAGAATTGCATCACCATGCAGTAGTAGCTCATAGAAACCTTGAACTGTGCACCATTTATTTAAAAAAATATCAGTGTTAATAATTAAAAGCTCTGCCTTTTCATACCCATTGACAGTTCAACGTAGCGTGCACATGCCTTTTTTTTCTTTCGCAAAACGCCTTTCATCGGTTTGCACTTTGCTATATAGACCCTGGATGAGGCTTAGGTCCCCTGCAGCATCATGACTGTTCAACCCCCCCATCATACCGCAGGAGGAAAATCAGCTGTGTGGCTGCTGTGAGTCTTGAGTTGTACCGAAGGAAATGTGTGGATAACAGATAAAACACACAGTGCCACACAAGACTGCAAGTACACTGCCACAATGCAGTCGTGACCTATTTGTCATTTACTGGCAGCAGACAAGCTCTGAATAAAGACGAAAGCTAGAAGTGTGAAATTCCTGAGACTGGGTTTCAGAAAAGAGATCTTAAGCAAAGTGATTTCTCTGTTGTCACTAGAATGAGCCCTTTTGAAAGGCAAACTAAAAGGCTCTAGCTCTTACACACCGCCTCAGTGCACTGTGATACGACTGAGTTCTCTGAATTCAAAGGGCTTTGGTACGGTGTTAATCAAAAGACGCCTCATTAGTGTGCTCCACACAGAACACAGGGGACCAGCAGAGACTGGGAGAGCTGGAGACGGCAGACAGCTTGAGAAGGCTTTTGCTTTCAGGAGCTGACACTTATTTGCATGCCAACTGATGATACTCATTTGTCAGCAAATTGTGTTTCTTGAAATTCAAGCAGACGGCGACGGTGCTTGTAGTACATCCTGGGTTACACACAGCCCTGTGTGGAGCCGCATCAAGACCACACTGATGAAGCAGTCAAACCAAAATCACAACGCTGCACTTCATCATTCACCTCCTGTACATCAAAAGGGCACAAGTATTTTCTCACCTCAGGAAAATGAATAAAGAGAAACTATTCTTTTTTACTGTGATATTTGAAAATAAACCCACTTTTATCCACTGTTTTCTGGATTGGACAGACGTTTCCACTATTTAATGTGGGATCATCAAGCTATTTTCAGTCTTCCTCTCTAGGAGGTACTGTAACAGAATGAGATTCTGGGGAAAGTCATGAAATGTGAGCTGTACCAGCCTTTAGAACATGATCCGAGAGAAACATGATCCAATATCATTTGTTTCCGTCTTTACTCAGGCCCAAAGAATTCTCAGTTTAGTTTTCAAAATAAGTAGTTGATCTTCCGTTATAGTTAAGTGGTTGAACCTATTCTCAAAAGAAGAATATAAAAAGTCTTACTACTATTAATATAGTAACATTTAAAGATTTCCACATGACTTGTGAAAGAGGTAAGTGTTTCAGTGTTCGATATTTTTGACTTTAGGCGAGTAAAACACAGGAACTGTGAACTGATACTGTGAAGTATACATACAGGGTAAAATATACAACCAGGGTGCTTAAGATTCTAACACAAGTGTATCATGAAAACTGCTAACTGCAGCATACCCGCTTGAACAAATCAGACCACAGGGTATACATTCCTATAGGCAGTGAAGGCTCCTGTGTCTCCTTGTACACACAGAAGTCATCACGGAGCCGTCGTCTAGTTGAGCAGGTGCAGTAAAGCCATTTCACCCTGCAACTCACAGCTGGCAAACCATTGAAGCTCAGCAGGTGTGAGCCTGGTCACTACCTGGATGAGAGACCTCCTGGGAAAAACTAAGGTTGCTGCTGGAAGAAGTGTTAATGGGACCAGCAGGGGGCGCTAACCCTGCGGTCTATGTGGGTCCTAATGCTCCAGGATAGTGACGGGGACACTATACTGTAAACAGGCGCCGTCCTTTGGATGAGACGTAAAACTGAGGTCCCTGACTCTTTGTGGACATTAAAAATCCCAGAGGGTTTCTAGAAAAGAGTAGTGGTGTAACCCCGGTGTACTGGCCAAATGTCCCATTGGCCCTTACCAATCATGGCCTTATAATAATAATTCCCATGTATAAATTGTCTTCATCACTCTGCTCTCCTCCCCACAGAAAGCTGATCTGGAGTGAGCGTTCTGGCGCACTATGGCTGCCGTCACATCACCAGGTGGTGTACACACTGGTGGTGGTGGAGGGGATTCCCCATTACCTGTAAAGCGCTTTGAGTGGAGTATCCAGAAAAGCGCTATATAAGTGTAAGCAATTATTATTATTAAATTATCAGTGCCCTGCCGAGTGTAATGTGATCACCCACGGACTGATGTCCACCCCTCCACGGTGCACAGCTTCCCTGCTAGAGCTGTCCGAACAGGCCAGGTCAATTCACCCATTCTGAAAGGCTCGATCGAGTTAGAGCCGTGGACACCCTCTGGAGAATGTCCAGCTCTGTTTCTCTGTCATTTCCTCCACAATCGGTTGACTTTGCCAAAAATATAAAGAAGCAGCCAAACAGTGTTAATATGTAGACATGGTTAGAGGATCTTTTAAGGAGGTACGTTATTTGTGATGAACACACCATTTGTACACTCTGTGAATGTCTAGAGTAATGTCCTGCAGTGTTTGTATTTGTTACTATGTTTGACCGGTGTTAAAGCTTTTCACTATCAGACTGTGGTTCGGTTGTCCTTGTGTTATTTATGGGCTCAATGGTCAGTGTATCCCTCACCCATTGCAACCCTGTCTATCCGCTCAGAACAGTGTGGGTGTCTCCTGTGACAGTACAGTTCCACAGTGAAACAATACCAAAAAGTGTTTGGCTATAACCCACTGAAATGCATTCTGAAAGCACTCAGTTATATACTTCTTTTAGTGTTCTTCTTTTAATGTTTGTTGCATTGTTTTGTACTGTAGCGCTCTCGGGTTCAGGTGGGTATGCTCCCTTGCCCCTGCCGCCTCAGGTCGGCCCCGCACCGCTGGGGACTCGATCCCGGGCCTCTGGCGTCACTCAACAGGGAACCAACCAGCTGAGCTAAAGGGAAATCTCCCTTCAGCCCGGCGGCTGCGGTCCCTGCTATTCACAGGGAAGGGTGGTGACGTCACCACGCTGGTAAGCTGGCTCGCACAACCTGTAATGTTGGCCGTATGCGTTACACTCTCCCCCACTTAATTCGCCATCCTCAGCGAAGGGCTATCCCAACCCGCTTCTGACACCAATGTAGCACTCTCGGGTTCACGTGGGTATGCGCCCTCGACCCTGCCGCCTCAAGTCGGCCCCCCACCGCTGGGGACTCAATCCTGAGTCTCTGGCATCCCTCAACAGGGACCCAGCCAGTGAGCTCAAGGGAAATCTCCCTTCAGCCCAACGGCTGTAGTCCCTGCTATTCACAGGGAAGGGTGGTGACGTCAAAGCGCTGGTAAGCCGGCTCAAACAACCTGCAATGTCGGCCGTATGCGTTACAGTACCATTCATTCCAGGACTTTAATGGGACCACAGTCATTTTTACCATCTTCGGTTCTGCATTATTTAATCACATTGGTGTGTGAATAAATGTCTTCTTGCTGATCACCTGTCATTTCTGCTTGAACAGCGACATGTCTCCCATGACACTTTGTAGCACACTGAGACCTCATGTCTCTGATAGAGAAGGTCGTATTATTGAGTTTACTGAGATCACGGCAGACCTAGTTTACAAATATAAGTGAGCTTTTATCTGCAAGTATTTCTCAATCACATGCTCTGCCTTACCCTGAAAACAGTCATGATTTCAAGAAGTACCACCCCCACATTAACAGAGTGCAGCATGAGTTGCGTGCAGTTAGCCATAAAATTACAGTGCTTTTCATGCTCTTTTTGGAAAAAAAACTCAGAAATGGATATGCTCAAAGCTGATTAACAGGAAGTGCCTGGGGGGAACAAATTAATGTCACACAAGGTCATATGTGAAGCATGAGGAGCTCTGGGCTGTCTAAAACTGCAATAATTCTCCTTTTTATTTCCGTTCATTTCACCTTTGACGATTTTATTCAGGAACTTGTTTTGCTGGGAGGTTTTGAAGCTGTTCTTGCTACAACTGCAGAAACGTTTAGGCAGAAACACCAAATGTTCCTGTTAAAAAAGTCTCTCTCGATGAGGTTTGACAGGTGACCACACTGTTTCCCAGTAAGCCCACTCCTGCTTGTGTACAGCAGGGACAGATGTATAAACCCATGGGAACCGCAGGCAAAGAGGGGGTGAGACCGTGATCAGAGTGAAATGTGCACTCTCATTCACCTGTAAGATAGTGTCAGAAGTCTAATGCAACCGTCAATAGAAGGTACATGGACAGCACTTGCATTTCATTGTTTAAAAACTTCTTTTTTTTCATGGGTTATTGGAGTGCAGCAAGCTCACATCATCAGTATTAAAGCACAAGAAAAAGTCATGTCTCATTGTTTCGCTGCTTAACTGTATTATATTTATTTATATTTGAAAATAAAAGAAAAAGGTTGTTATGCAGTTGGATGTGTCATTTGTCCTGAAAATCCATGGTCTTCCTCTTTTCAAGAGGCCAGGACAACTGTTGTTTTCTGCACAGCACAGTGCCCAGGCATGATCGTAAGAACGATCTATAAGGAGATGCCCATACTCAGGCACTAATGTGTTTTTTGAATGAAACATCCATCCATTTTCTAATCGCTTTATTCAGTACAGCATCGCAGGGGAGCTGGATCCTATCCCAGCAATCAACAGGAGCAAAGGCAGGATACACCCTGGATGGGATGCCAGTCCATCTCAGGACACACACAAACACAAACATATGTCCTGTTAACGTGAGTTTCAGGACAAGAGGACAATTTGCAATTACCCTACTGCATGTGAAGAAAGCACACGTGGATACAATGCACATGCAAACAGAAGGTACTCTTACCACTGCTAATCTTACCACTGCTCCACTCTGCAGAGCTCTTTCTAATTCAATTACCCTTACAACTTCCCTTTAACTCAGTGCAGAGTTCATCAGGTTGCCTCATTACCAGTTTGCTCAATAAAAACACATTTATATGATTTGTATTGTACAATATATTTAAATTCAGTCTCACTGCCTGTGTTATAAGCCTGCACACAAAGTATGAACATGAACAGGCGCGTAAAAAATACTCTGACCAAGCCGTCCCATATGTAATTTACTTGGGGAAGAGTGTAAAAAATACATTAAATTTAAAAGGAACATAATCCTTAATATGTAACAGGTTAAAAATTCAAAGTTTCCTTCTCAACAGAGCATACACCCATGCATTTTTGAAACAGGATCTCCACGATGTGTTAGTTTCCACCCGGTCCCCGTCCCCACCGCGGGATGCCCAGTACAGCGGCGGGAGGCGGAGCTGGCCGGGCCCCGGGGCGGCGGGGGATTAGTGAGGCGCCGAGGGGGCGGCTGGCGTATGCGAGGAGCACAGACATGCGTGGGGGGCCTCAGGTGGGGAGGCAGCCCGCGGAGGCTCCTACGCGGGGGCGAGACCTGGGGGACCGGGGAGGGGGTAGGCGTCTTCTGTCTGCCACCTTGAGGTGGGAGTGACATCAGAGGGCTCGTCAGCCGGGACCGGACCGACGAATTACAGCGGGATTCGACAGGCGAGAGACAAAGCCACTCGTACCCCCCTCCTTTTATTCAGAGCCGCCCAACCACGCTCTCCTTAAACGAAACTTCAAGTTCATTCTTAATGCGTCCTTTGTGTTCCCCTCCCCTGCCGGGGGGGCTGCGCTCCTCGGCGGTCTGACTTGGGCGCGCTGTAGGCGGAAATACTCTGTGGCGTGCGCCGCCGTGTCAGAATGCCCCGCATGCACATGCTTGATGTGGGTTCGACACGCAGGTGCCGGTGGTGCAGAAGAGCACGCATGTTTCATTGCAGCCACTGGTGGGGAGTTTATGAGCTGGAACAAGTAAAAACCAAGCAAGGCGCCCCTACCCCAATATAGACATGCAGCAGTAGCATCTAAAAAAGTGTCAACTAACATCCCCCACAGCTGGCAACTCGTATTGGAAAATATATTCCACAATATAGTAAAAATTATTTTCGGTACTACTTTGATTTGTCAATGACACCTGTACTGGTCTAGTTTACTGATCTAGTGAGTGTCAACGAAGAAATTCTTGTGAACTGATGCATTTATGATGCCAATAATTATGTCTGCTACAGAATAAACAGCACAGAAAGCAAGTAAATCCCATCAACGGGATCGTTTTTCTTCATAGATAAATTTCCTGTTTTGCATCGTTTATTCCCTACTAGCCTTCAGCACATTTTCTTCTTTCTACTCTTCAGAATAAATCGGTTTTTTTTTCTACACACAGACCTGAGTTCTTTTTTCCAGGGGCCGTGGAAGTCTGAAGCCGGCACCCTCTGCAGTTCAAAAGCAGCCTTGCCGAGTTACAGCAGCTCCGTGACTTTAAATATCCAATCTTCCAGAGCAGCCTCAGCTACTCCCGGAGAATCCCATAATGTCACATCCGGTTTTCTAGATCTTCGCTTTTCACTGCCAAGCAGAAAACGTAACGTCCTTGTTTGTCTTTGGCCTCGCTTACCGCTCACATCTGTGTCTGCCTGCCTCCTGGTGTTTGTCTCACTCTGGGAGCTGATTGTGTTGGCAAAAGGATGAGCAGGCCTGTGTGTGTGTGTGTGTTTCCTGAATGCGAATTGTACTGAATATGCATACATTCATGTTCAGTAAAACATTGTGTTTGAACTTCACATCTCTCCATATTGAAACTTGAACATGCAACACCAATTAATGTAAGGAAACCAGGAAACAGGGGTTCAACCTGTCTTCTGTAATTTGTACACATTACAGAATTGTGAGAGCTGAACTCTCTCAGGAGTAACACAAGAACATGGGGTCAGAAGTGGATAGTGAAGGGGCATTCATCAACCCACTATATATATATACATTTTTCTCCTGAATGCTTCTTGAAAGAGCCCAGGTGCGTGGCTGGGAAGCCCATTTCAGCCTTTCACAAATCCTTGTGTGTTTTGTCATTCCCTTCTCCATCCCAGCCTGAATGCCTTTCACTCATTCAAAACCTTTACTTCTATACGTCAAGGGGCTAGCAGGCTGAGATGTGCCATAAGCTTTCTGTATAGCTTCAGGTCAGTACCTGTATCTGTCTTTGTTTCTGTCTCTTGGCATTGTCAGAGAATTACATCAAAGTCAGATCTCAGATGGCTAACCATCTGTGCGTCTGTCCAGCAATGCTTCCCAGTTAGAATTGTCCAGGCCCTTACCACAGACTGAGAAGCAATGTACAAAGGTGTGCCTGCATGCTCATGTCCCATCGTAGAGCAAGTGGGTGGGTTATTGTAACAGGGGAATTTGACTAGTCTACCTGCGTTTCTGTGCCTGTGTTGGTGTGGGAAGGGTTAAGACCCCAGGCAGTCTGTCTCCTTCCTTCTCCCCCCTCTCTCATTTCCCAGGCCCTGCATTGCAATGCTAATTAGCCCAGCTGTCTGGGCCAGCTTGCTCCTGTGTCCCATGGGAACGTGTGCTCAGCTGTCATTTGCCTCCCTTTCTTTCTTTCTGCGGATAAAAGGCTGGGAACCTGCAGCCTCCACCTGCCCCTCTCTCCTCTCTTAGCAGCCCCTGGCCTTCCTGCCCCTCCTCCCCACAGTAAGACCCCATCCCCTGCTTCCTGGGGCACGAGCTCATCACCGCCACAGAGATTAGGAGCCAAAGCCCCTTTGCCCAATTCCTTCCTTCTCTGTGGTTAAGATGTCACATGGCAGCGCCGGATAGCAGCACTGCATCAGTGTCATCGACTGACATCCACTAACAATCATGTATATGGTGTTTGTTTTCCCTACTACTGCTTCCTGATTTTATGGAGAACTGTTCTGAGCAGCACTAATCTAAGACTGTACACACAAACAATTCTGGATTGCAAAGTTAATGATTAACAACGAAAGATATCCTTGCTCAAACCACTACCCTTTACTCACCATTGCTGTTGTCATGCTCATTTTGACACGACAGAGTGATGTCATCTTCAGACTGCTCGCGCGCCAGCAGGACCTTCAGCCTGTGACTCAGGTCAGGTTTTTTTTTAATTTTGCAAGAATAAAGAGACAGAGCACACGCGCCCTGCCAGAAACAGGTATGTGTTTCATACAGGGAAGCAAGGGGAAATCCATACAAACAGTATTTCGTTTCCCCTTGACATAAAGTGGTTTGAACTGCGTGCTGCTTTTAGCAGCTATGGAGACTGTGCATGGACACCAGAGTTCAGGATCATCCTGGGGAACATTCCTCCTGTCTGCGCTTTACCAGTTACCCAGCTCCATCATCACCAATGCGTTGCCCCAACCTGGTTGATGCAACAGCAGTCAAAGTGCTCATCAGCTATCATTGTGGAAGAGTGTACAGTGATGTAATCAGTTGATAGATGGGAATTATTAGGAGGCCATGGCTGGTAAAGAATAGGGGGAATTTTGGCAAGGACACCAGAGCAAAACACTATTACTATTTCAAGAAATTCCCTGGGATTTAACACCTCCTCCAGCAGCAACCTTAGTTTTTCCCAGGACGTCTCCCATCCAGGTACTGACCAGGTCACAGCTGCTGAGCTTCAGTGGGTTGCCAGTGGTGAGTTGCAGAGTGACATGGCTACTGGCTGCAGAAGGGACAGTCCAAGTTGGAAGCCACCTGTGTAGGTCAGGCACAGCGGGAGAGACGAGCAGCTCCTGCAGACGACAGAGGGGTCGTTCCCCATTGTTCTGACAGATGGGGTCGTGAGGGTACATGCGGGCCTGGTGCTCCTCTGGCCCCTGAGGTCCATGGTCGCACTGATCAATGGCTCCTGCAGCACGTCCGCAGTAAACCCACCGCTTCGGCCGGGTGGAGACGAAAGAGAGAGGACTACAAAGGCTGCTCCTGCTTTCCCTCTCCCCGGCGGCGCTCCGGTTTCAGACGGCTCAGAGCACCTAATTGAGCAGTCTACAGCGCGCTGGCGGAATCAATTATTTCTGTCTGATAACAGAGCTGCCACTTTGCATCTGGGCGCCTCTGACTCTCTGCTCTCCTGGCTGTTCCAACACAAACCTGCTGCCTCACCCCCAGGCTACCTCCACGCGTCTCACTGCTGCTCCCACTCTTGTCTGATGTCTAAATGTCTGGCAGAGTGTTTTGCTACAACTCAAACCGCAGAAGACAAAAGCATAGACTGACTTCTCACTGGCTTTCCCATAACTAATTATCAAGGAGTGCAGAACGGTAGTTTTCTGCTATCCTAAGCAAAATTTCCCACATTAGAATTCCCCTACTCTTCAGTTCCATTTCAAAAGATCCCTTTTTGTTTTTAAATAAAAAAAAACGTTATTTTTTAGCTGCAGATGGTTCATGGGCCTCGGTCGGCCTGGCTGGCCGCTCCTGTGCGCCTCGAGGGGCATGCTCAGAAGGTAAACTGGACAGTGCTGGACCTGGTTTAACAACACACAGGACAGAAACAGAACAGCCCTTTTTACAACTAGTTATAGAGAAGATTACAGACAGCAGATCTAGCCTCCTGAATCTGAAATCCTAAAAGTCACAACAGTAAACTACAAGTCAGGACTTTCCAACTAGGCACCTCATTGAGCTATTGATTCAAGGATATATGTGACCTCTTACCAGACTGGACATGTATTTCCATTAATACAGGGTTAGTCAAAATGTTGTCGACAAGTATAAATGCCAATTATTTTACTAAAGTTTTGTTTTCTCCTCCACAGATAACGAAGGATTGTAAGGTAACTGTTAGAAACTATGACAGCTTATAACAAATTAATTACATGGGTTACAAAAAAGGTTTCAAACGAAAGCACAGTTGTCGACAGCATTTTGACTAACCCTGTAATTTCTTTAAGAAGCATTCGCTATATAGTTCTCAGTGCTCGGTAAATGTTGTAGATTTCAAATCTTAAAAATTTATTGTTTAACTTGAACTCTCAAACTTAGTCCCAACATTACAGAAGATCTGTTATCCCCATCATATCACTGCCGATATTTTCTCATATTACTACTAGAATGAGCAGGTTTAAAATTGGTACTGAAATCTTTGCTGGACGCAAGGCACCCTGAGGCCTGGCACTGGAAAAGCCAGGAGAGGGAGGTCTTTAAAGGCCCCATGATCTTAACAGAATGTTCCTATTTGAAGTCACCCCCTCCCCCACCAACCAGCCCCACTGCCCCCTTAAACCACCAGGAAAATGACACCACACATTTCACATCTGCACATTGTATGAAATGAATTAGTATGAATTGCAGCAAGTGGCTTTATTTAGGTCAACTCCGGCCCTGGCAGCCAAACAAGAGTCCTTGAGTCATGACAGGGGAGTCTGGCAGAGACGAGCAATCATGTTGACAGACTCCAGTGGCACAACAGTTACACACGCCACACAAGAGTAGCATACAGTAGTTAAGCACTCCCATACCTCCTCATGGCCTCTTTCCAAGCTTGCAGTTAGTGTCTATTTAAAATGCTCAACAGGACAAATGTTTGACTGTACAATTACGTGCATTACCGTTTTAACATAGCATATTTGCGTCTTAAAACCAAATTTATCAGAACATGTTTTAGCATTTACTGTGCATTCTTTTTAAACACAAGATTTATTGTTGCATCTGTCCAGTTCTTTATCCTAGGTCAACAATGTTACTGCTGTTTTTCCTAGTTTTCCCTGTAACTGTTCTTTTTCCACTGATAAAAAGCACATTGTGCATACGTGTGTTAAGCTGGAAATGCAGAGACCACACACCATTCAACTTTTTAAAAAAAAATAATTTGCACACAAAGGAAAACATTTTCAAACAAGGTTAAAAATAAAGTCTTACAAAGTGTTTACAGTTATTTCGTTTCAGTGGTTATTGAAGATTTGGGTTGTCACAGTTAGTTCTGAACACAACAAGGTTTAAAATAACAGAAGTTACAAATGACAGAAGGTTATTTAGCCCGTTTAGCTCATACTGTTCCTAACAGGTGACTGTAATGTGCCTTTATAAAGAAGTGGTTTCCCTCTTTTCTGGCCAGGTAGTGAGTTACAGAGGAAGCACTGAGTGTTGTAGCAGGACACTACTTCAACTGTTTAGACAGGTGGTGGAACGCAGGAAAGACTGAAGAGTACTGCTCTGGATCCTACATGCCGGCTGCTAAAATGTCTTGGGAAGCAACGTTCTCAATTGCAAAGGATTCACCTATACGTAGTCCATTCCCTACTGGTCTCTAGGGCACCTGGTCTTTCTCGCCAACAGCCCACAGATTATCCCTGGAATACTCAGCGTCACACCACCACAAGACAGGGAAAATGAACCAACCTATTCACTCCATTGGTAGATGTGCTCCCATCTGCTGAAAGACACAGGTGTGATTGTGGAAGATGTGTTATCCTCATCGTACCGCCACTGATATTTTCTCATCTTTGTACTAGAAAGATGAGAGTTTGATTGCTGATGAGACTCTGCCTAGCATCTGGATGTCTCTTAGTTTAGTCTGAGACTGAAGCCTGCGGTCCTGTACAGGACTCAGGGGAACAGGCGGCCCTATGGCCCTGTAGAGGGGTCCGGACTGCGGTCCTGCTGCTAAAGTGAAACAACAAACCAGCAAAGAATTTCATTGGGACTTTTGGGTCAGCTGTGTGGCAGTGGAGGCAAAAACAGCCATTGACATCTAATTTTTGTCAAGTTTTTAACAAAAGCTTGCCTATATAAAACGTCCTAACGTGACCTTAGCCAGAGACAGAGGCTACCCGTGAGAGACTTCCTGACATAGAAGAAATCAAATGAAATGGCTTAGAGGTTTCAAACAGGAAGCTGGCACAACAACCTGTCTTTTTAGCAACTACGCTGCAAGTTTCCAGAACAGCTGGTAAATCCATCATCGGAGTTCACACTCCCACTCCTATTCCTCAAGCAGTGCAGTGACAAGAGGGTACTTTCACACGGAACTGGGTGCTGGCGCGACCTCACCACCTCCAACAACACCTCACAACCTTTTCCCAACAAAAGGGGCTCAAAGTGCAGTTTGTAGCAGTAGTAGCAGTTTTGTCAACAAGCACTGTCAGTGGGACTGATTGAAATTTTACTTAAGTTGAGTACCAGCTAAGGCAGGAAAGATCTGATAATTCATGACAATAAATAAAATATTAATAAACAGAAGAATAATGATGGAAAGAGACTTATTATCTCTTAAAGCCAGAACAGAGTGTTCAACTACCACCTATGCCAAGACACGGCACCTAGACTTGTTCCCATCCGTGAACTACCTGGCAGCCTTAATACATTAAGACATTTCAGAGTATTCACTAACAGGATAGAACAACAAACTGACCCTAAGGTCTTTGCCTTAGGGATCTGAGAATGTACTTGGGAAGACCTTAAAGAAAAAGGAACAGTCACAGAACAGCCTGCTGATCTGGTGGCTCACATCTCCCCATTTGACACAGCAGCGAAGAAACAAGGCTGCAGAACACACTTCCCATGTAGACATGGAGGCTGTAACACTGCGGATATCGAGGTAAGGACCACAAATAATGCTGTGACCCTTAATACTGCAGAAAAGAAGTACACAGGCAACCTAGGAAGCACCGTTCAACAAGCTCAGAAAGTGGTAAATAGCTAAATTGTGTTTGCTCTTAGTGTGTCAGATAGAAACAGCAACTGTAAGACTACATTTTGTGACGTAACAGCATTAGTCACAGCTGAAGTATATACAGGCTAGAATACAGTATTCAAAAGACATGAAATAGTACTTTAAACTCATACATGAAAAAACAAACCAAAGTCTTTCATTTTCCCTCAATATACACACAAAGACAGGGAATGCATCTGACATTATTGCTACTGATAAATATCAGAGAGGTCACATCTCCTTTCTGTGCATTGATTACATTAAGTGTTGCATTCACTTCCAATAATCATCTCCACATAGGATTTTGATCAATTTGAATTAATGGCAGCACTTTTTCCAAACGCTGAAGATCAGAGGTTGTTTTATCTCAGTTTTCATACCACTAGAGCACAGTTCCATTATGAAACTGCTTGTTCAACTTGAATTCAGACTAAAAACTGAAAGGACTAGACCTGCTATTAAAACTGGAAAAGAAATAAACACAAAAATAATCAATCTTGGTGAACCGTCCCTTTGTTTTCTCCCGATATCTGACTGGTAAAAACAAACCAGAAAGAAAACGACAATGAATTCAAGCACCACGCACAGCCTTAATTGGCCAAGGCTCGGAGACTCCCAACTTGAGAACAGTACAATCGCAATGTCACTTTCCTATAATGCACAGTGTGTGACATAAAAGGGAGAACGTGCAAGTTAATGAGTTATTACTCCCAGGTTCATCTAATGCAGAATGGCATTTTCTTAAAAACACCCTTATTTAAAAATCCTTTTTCAGTACAGACTGTCAAGTGAGTTTTCCCTTCCTACAAGGGGGCGAGAATAAGAACAGAACGCTCACAGACAACAAGTTTCCCCCCCAACCCCCCTCAAAGACACAAGGACTGCCGAAAAAGATTTGCTTGACTTGTCACAAGTACAAAGGCCTGGAGTACCAACGCCTACAATGTTTGACATGTATTTTAATTCATTAGTGGCTATCACTCAGAACTGCTTTTTGGAGCTTTGACACTGCAGTGATGTAGTGATGAGACTAGCGATGGTGGATATCTACAAAGATGAGCTGGCTTCCCTAGCATAAAGAGATTCCCAACTTATTCACCCATTCATTTTAAACCGTAATGAAGCAATTAAGACACTAGATACTGTGCCACAACAGCACAAAGACATGAGTGGATTTCAATTCAGATTGTGGGCGAAAGCCAGGCAGAGGAAAGTATTGGATTAGAGCCCACTCTTAACTGACTGAACGAGCTCAGTCTTATCATCCCAGCTACAGAGAGAGGGGTGCAGGAATGAGGGTCCAGCCACAGAACAGGGGCTGCCTCTCACTGTCTCTAATCTAGCCTGCAGGGAGGAGCTCATGTAGGAACAGTCCATGCATGTGTTGCCATTTTAGATTATGAGTAACTTAATTTAGCCAGGAGGTCCTAAAGCTTTACCTCTCATAATAAAAACAAAAGGCTTCTTTGCAGGGTTATTTCCATGTCAATTTTAGGAAATTATTGAATAAGTAGGATTTTAACCCAGCCATCCAGCTACAGTACCACCATAATAATTCTTTACAGGAAAATCCTATTCAAACATAGGGATTGCACTAGGCCCCCCAAATACCAGTTTCCATCCCCAAATTCAGCATTAGGAGACTTAAAGGAAGCTGAACACAGTTGAGGCTGAATCAAATACTTTTCAATCTCTTTAGGCACCCCGGCAGAAACCAAAACCAGACCCCTAAGCTCAAACAAGGAACCATTCTTTAAGGCCCAACCCCCTGGAAAAGTACCCTTGAAGAGATGCTTGTGGAATTTCAATTTCTTCACAAGAGGATACAGCACTTCTGTCAAAAGCTGAGCACAGGCGCCAGTTATCATGGGACTGTTCATGTCCAGGAGCGGTCAGACGTCTTGGCATATCTGGGTTAGCTGGGTGACTATGTCAAGGAACGAGAAGAGGCTTAGTATTTACAGCTGAACTAGACAGCGCTATACATGTGGCTGTTTTCTCCTAGCTTTGTTATCCATTCTGTTAAGATTAAAATAGCACAATAAAAGAAGAATAAAAAGCTCAGTGTTACACTTTGGTGGTAACCAAATATCAGACAGCTGAAAAGCACCCCAGGGCCTGTGCAAGTTTCTCTTTTACAGCGCAGAGAGCCTGGAGGGATGTTTCTTCAGCTGGCCCTTCACTGTAAAACGCCCTTCACCCACGGTACGGTCCAGCGCCCCGCTGATCACAGGGCAAAGAAGAGGATTAGCACTACTAGCAGGATGGCCAGGAGAATGCCGATAGCGCACCACTGGCGCCGATCTGAAAAACACAAAGCAAAAGAAAGGGTTACTCTTGACTGCTTGATGTAGGTTCACCTCAGGCATCTTCAAACTATTCAATTAGCTAGCTAGCTCTGTGCTAAAGATGCTGTTGTGACCTTTCATAACACAATGGCAACCTTCAGACAAACTATGATCTCCAATCACCTGGACTGGCCCAACAAGTGTAATGTCTTTGGAAATGTCAACCACACTGTAAATACACATTCAGGCTTTGTGCTGCAAATGGTCATTCCCTGGCAAGTCCACTGGAGTGGACCCATTAGGACACAGGCCACGAATGATGTGCTGAAGGATGCCGGCCTCTCCCCACTCACAGGCCTGAGAACAATGCTACCGTGTAAACCAACGGATTATGGATTGTAGAAAAATAACCAGACAGAAAGCTGCAGCCATGTCTAAACTTCCAACTACTGCCACGAAGAGGAAAAACAGAAATGAAATATGCTTCTATCCACCGATGATTTCGGCATCTGTGGTTTTAACGAGATTATGAAAAGAGATCGTTTTTCAAGGTCAATTAGAAATGAAATTTTAAAGCACAGGTGGAAAGGAGAAAATACACAATCCAACTCTCTCTCACAAAACTAGAAACGCACACAAGAACAAAAGGGCACACATGCCAACATTGCCAAGAACACATCAACTGCTTCTATTTCTCTTTACGTTTAGAGAACAAACCCTCAGACCCTCAAAAAGACAAACCTGTGACAGGACTTGTGAAGGTGACAGGATTTCCTGGAAAGGAAAGATTTCATCATGCTTCCTGTCAGTACCGAACGCTTCCCCAGGTCAAGCCCCCGGATTTGAAAACAATGCCTTATTAGGAGCTGCTACCTTGAGAAAGCCCCGCCTTTCCTTCCCCCTCTGAAAGCCCCAGGGCAACCTCAGGAAACCCACTTCAACACCTGCCTGTCAACAGGAAGTGGTTCGCTGCAGCAGCTACTGTTCACTTCCACTCCACGCCAGGTAGCAGGCTGTCACTGGGCCCTGGTTTATTAGTCATGGGCCTGGTTCATTTTCACACCTTGAGAATTTCACCTTTCACCCACTTGGTAACACCCAATTCAGTGTTTAGCACCCTTTCTGCGTGTGCATAAAAAGAGAAGCAAGGTATTCACTCTCGCTCTCCGACACTGCCAAACCGCTGACATAGCTAGGTCTTGCAGGATGTGTTCTCACTTTTACCAAGAAACCAACCAGAGAGCCAGTTGCCAGCCCGGGCGGCTGATGGCCTCTCAACATACTGTAAATAGAGGAGTAGGTTATTCACTCCTCAAGGCAATTCAGATCCTTACATCCTGTTGAAAATCTGAACTTTTTAATGAAACCTTAAGTAATGCAGAAGAAATAATGATACAATAGGACAGGAAAAAAACAACATATTCCAAGATTCAACCCAAACCCCCCAAATTAAGCAGAAAGGTACTTGCACTAAACATCTTGCCGTCATAATCTCCATTAATAATAACTACTAAAATGATAAGAAACCCACTTTGAGAAATATAAAGGTGCGCTTGTCAGCAAAGACAACTGTACAGTCAGACCTTCTGGGCAAACAAAGCCATCCTGCTTCCTAATGGAAAGATTCAAAAATGACCAGGACCTTCAACAAGACCATACTGTATATACAACTTTCCTAAAATAGAAAAACAAAGCAGGTGATGCCTCCTTCAATATACAACAAAGCTCCAATAGGTTGTGAGGGCACAAACATTAGAGTGGTAATTCAGAAAGCCAGTTACCTTCTCTGCTGAAAGACATTACAAGACAGGTATCCAGCAGAGAGCCCCATAGCAATGCTACAACCGTTTCCTCAGGAGTAGCCTGCCAACCTTTAAAGCTCTCTGGGGTGTCATGTTGGCCAGACTTACCACTGGTCATGTGGGAGACCTTTGCCAGCTTCTTCATGACGTTGTCAAGTCGGGACTGGGTGTTGTCCATCTCATGTGAAAAGTCATCCAGCATCCTGGTGGAGAGGGAACAGAATGATTAGTGGCATTCTGCACACACCACCTCCCTTAAGATGCAAGATCAACATAAGGAGCTGTGCTCATGAAGGGAGGTCAACACCAAATCAGTCAACTACTACATGGACCAACATACATTACATGATAATTTGATTATCCACCACATCTAATTCACTCACTGTATATTGATGATCTGCTTTTCTCCCCCCCCCCATTAGTATTAGAATCTACTTTATTGTGACTATACAGTGGAAATACTATACCATACAGTATTAAAACATCAGATTCAAGCTGCAGGCATATATTTGCTGTCAATGTAATGATCTGAGGGGGCTCATTTCAGAGTTTCAAAGAGTAATGGCACTTGGATTAAATGACTTCTTAAAAATGTTTTTATAACCTTCAGAACTCTAAAACATCATCCGGATGGTCATTTTTGAAATTGGGAGTGAAGTAGATCATTTATTATTTACAATTCTTTCCTGTAAACACTCCTAGTCTAGATATGGTTCGGCTGGTTCTGTTTCTGAACCAAACATTTTGCTGCCTGTGGCGATGATCCTTGAGGTCTTGACTCTAGCCCCTCACACCAGGATTCCCACACCAAGTGGAGATGTCTAGTAGACTGGTGTAAGCCAGCTCTAGGATGTGTCTGCTTACATCAAAGCCCCTCAACCCTCTCGAGAGAAAAATCTTTGCATGGCTCTTGTAAAAACACGCTCTGTGTTGTCTAAGAAGTTTAGTTTATCAATGCATGTTCCCAGATCCTTAAAACAAGGAAAAATCTCAACAATCTCAACAATCAGATCTTTTCTTATTCCATCATACACATATTTCTGTCTTGCTCATGAACAGCGATCACTCTTCCGAACAGCTACACCAGGCAAACATCAAGGGTAAATATGTTAAGGCCACAATGCTTTCCAAATTTGTCTCAATACATCTAATTTTCTTAGTCATTTATGTAATCTTATTATACAGAGAAGGAATACTTACTCAATCACCAGATACTGAGAAAATACCATAAAGCCTGTATTTGTGTACAAAGTGGGTTAAGAGTTATTATTATTTAAATAAGTAAAGTAAAATTCCACCCAGTGTCACCAAGCTTAAGACATCCATTTCACTCCGTACTCATGATTTTGAAGTGGACTGCCACACACAAGTTATTTAGATAAAGTCTTTGTCACCAAAGAGTAAATCTGTGTAATGGCTTTTCATCTTAATTGAGTTTATTTTAATTTGTTTTTGAGGATTTCTCAGAAGGACTCATTAATTTCCCTGGAGCACTACAATGGCAAGTGTGCTGGGTGTTACAGCTGGGTGTTACAGGGTGTAACGAGCTACAGATGAACTCCTGGAGCAGCAGTCATGTGAAAGTGCTGGAGTCAATTCCCAGAGCTGCACAGCATGTTCTCTGATCTTATCGCAAGGAAAACTGAGCTGCCGCAGCATATACCTGAGTCAGGAGAAGGCAAACTTTATCTGCATTTTTATTTGTATCTTACTTTGTTTTATGTTGTTTCTACTGCCACTTGATATGAGAAAACTATGAAAAGGCTTTGGCAAAGCTGCACATTGAAATCCCATGGGGAATTGTGTGTGGCACCATACTGCTTCTCCAGTGAATAAACAGGCATTGTCTGTGTGCCTTTAAGTGACTCCTCCTGGAAAAGCCTCTGGTCAGAGCTTAGAAAAAGCTGTGGCCTGAACCACGGGCTATGGGGACTACCTGTGGCCATGAGCTGCCAGCATCAAGCCTGGTTGAGTGCTGAAGGCTCTTGAAGGGACTCTACAGCAATTGGTTTTGAACATTACATGTAAAAGGTGCGAGCCTGTTTTTCTACAGCTCTTCTTTAATAGCCATAGATCAAAACAAAAATGGCTCAAAAACACACATAGTTCACATGTAGCTTATGGCCTTTCTCTCTTCCAGATTGGCGCAAAGCTAAAGTAGCAACATGAAGTGAACAGTACACTTTCTACCGCTTCCCTAAAGTCTACATAGCCCAACAGGCTGGTCTGGACAAGGAGGAGCAGGAACGTGCTTCTACTGTATCTTGGCTACAGCTGGTACTGAGATAGCTGTATCACTGCTTCACATTGACAAACTAGTCTGCACAGTTTCATAGTTTTGCATATTGAAGATGAGCGCACAACAGTCTGCTGCCTTGCAGTGCCTGGGAATCCCAGGGGCGTTACTCACACAGCCTGCTCGTCCAGCTCCTGGCCGATCCTCTGTGACATGTTCTTCAGCACACCAACGCTGCCCGACACCAGCTCCAGCTGATCGTCCTGCTGCTCTACAATGAGCTGACAGAGGCACACAAGCACACAAGAAAGGGGTGAGAATCCCACCAGAGCGAGGGCCTAGTTGAAGATCCAGTCATGACAAAATCACCTGGATCAGCACATTACAAAACGTCCTGAAACACACAATTTCTCTCGGCAAGGGAGAAAGAACTGCGTATTTTAGCAAACGTTCCTGGTGGTAAACCTTTTTAGCAAACCTTCCTGGTCAGACAGAACGTGAATTAAAGGTATCGCCACTTTACGAGCGGAAAATCTTGTGATTCACTGTGGTGTAACTAGAGATACAAGGGTGTCTGTGCTGATGTATGTGGCACATCTACTTAACTAAACTTATTTAAGCTATTTACAGAAATTCCAAATAAGACCCGGTTTAAGCTTTCACCATTTTGTTAATTTTGCCAAAACTTTCCCTTTACAAGGGAGCTTAAAAAGAACAGCTTGGGTTAATCGCATTTGGGAGCGTCGACTTCTCATTGGTAGCAAAAACAGAACAAGAAACACTACCAACTAGTTTTCTTCACTGCTGCACAATGCTGATCCTACCTGCTGCTGTGCCTGCTGGTCCTCTATGAACTGAGAGTTGGCAGACTGGAGCTCTCGGTCCAACCTTGTGTACTTGTCTGTCCCAGAATGCCAGCCGGGTCCCTGGGACACACTTTCTCCCAGCAGAGCCTGTGGGCAAGAGTACAACACTTAAACCACACTGGGTCAAATCTCCATTCTATACTACTGAGATAGCATTTTCCAAAATTCATTATACTGATTAAACAATGATGTAAAAATACAAATAATAATGCATTGTACCGCTGCTATGAATTGAAAAACAAATGAAGACTGACAGTGCTCAATACCACTACCCTCCTCAGACACAGAAAATCTGATTTGATTGAAGAACCATCCCTTCATATTTTTTATGATATATGAGGCTTGCCATTCTGAGTACAACCACCCCTAATTATATACTAGTACATCACCTACCTGCCGGTTCTTGCGATCAGACATTGCTTGTGCCATTGGGCTGGACATGTGGTCTTTCATTTCCTGAAAATCAACATTAAAAATATTAGTCTGACTGGTGGATTATTACATCAGTTCAAAAACTGACCAAAAACCAAAGTTGGGTATCCATCCTTCATCATTTTCTTTCATTTTTCATGTCATAACTTAAAAGAATTCCAGCATCACACTTTCTCTTTTAAGACTGAATAATCCTGGTACAATAATTTCAAGTCATTTCTGCACCCTCCAACAGCCTCGGGAAAACAACCTGCAGGTGAAGGACTCAGTTTTCACCATCATAAAGCCCTTAAGCACTTGGCAACGCTAAGCCTAAATTGCTCATAACAGGAAGTGGAACATCATCTCTTAAAATACTTCCACTGGTGCGAATCACTTTCCTGACCTTCACCCACTAAGGCATCACAGCTTAAGGTTCACAGTTTAGAGACCAAAAGTAGCTCATTAAAATAATTGCCAGTAGGCTTTCTGGACTGAATGGGCAAAAGCACTGCTAAACCACTGAACTAAAATGTTCTTTGCTAAACGTCAACTAAAGTTTCCAGGTGTCAGTGGTGTGAAAAGGTCTGTGATACCCCCTAGGTCAGCCCACATTCTTGTGCATTATAGACCTAAAACAGATAGTCATGGAAGTCTTAACGACAGATGAGGACAACCTAATTAAACATGTCACAAAAACACAAGATGCATTTGGATTGTTTAATAAAATAATCCAATAGCAAATGTCCGAGTGTGAACCATAATTTGAACCCTTAGATTCAATAAACAATGGCATCTGAGTAGCAGTGACTTAAACTAGATGTTTCCTCTGCTTATTAGTCTCTTGCATTGGCTTTTAGAAATTTAGATCCATTTTTCCTTACTGAACTGCTACAAGTTGGTGACATTTGGGCGTTTCCTTGCTCGAATACCTGATTTCGAGTCCTGCCATAATGTTTCCCTGTGGTTTAGGTCTGAACTTTGAATTGGCCAATGCAAAATGTAAAATGTCATTTTCAGCCATTCTCTTATAGATCTACCTGCGTTTTAAGGATGCTGAGCTGCAAGACCTGCTCCTCAAACAGTTTCAGCTGACAAACGTGTATCATGACATTCTCCTCCAGAATTGACTGTTTTGCTCCATCAATGATGGCAAGCCATGCAGGTCATGAAACAGCACAGCAGATCCAGACAATGACTTCCACCACCATGACTGAAGGTCAGGGTGAGGTTCTGCTGTTAGTGCACTTCAGATGGCCAGCAATGCTCTTTTTAGAGAGTCATAGTTTCTTCCTGGTTATTCTCCCATAAAATCCATTCCCACTCAGTCTGTTCCTAATGGCTGAGACACGGACACTGATATTAGCCGCAGAAAGAGATGCATGCCGATCCTAAAATGTTACTCTGGGGTTCTTTGGGATTTCTCAGCTGATTTCTAGGTTGCTCTTAGGATGATCTTGGCAGGATAACCGGTCCTAGTAATCACCATGGTCTTGATTTTTTAAAATATTTGCATTATTTATTTTTTTAAACTGTCTGACAGTGGAAGGACGGACCCCCAAATGTTGAGAAGTAATTTTACAACACTACCCAGATTGATGAGCATCAACTACTCCTTTCTGTGGTCCTCCAGAAAAGAGAAAAATCTCTTTTGATTGTGACATGGCACGTACCCACTAACCTTCATGAAGATTAAACTTACAAAGTCTGACCATTCAACAGGACAGGACTTTCCAGATGGAGTTCTTACTTGTTACTCCATTATTTAGCTACCTGATTCTAATTACCACCTTAATTGTGTGCAGTAAACTAGGGAGGTACACAAACTCTTTCTTGACACATTATATACCACACAAGGTGCTGTTGATGAATACTGGCTTCACAAGTGATCTTTGAAAAGGAGTGATAGCTCTTACATTATATAACAATTGTAGAAAAGAAGTGGTTAGGCACACTATTGGAAACAACCTGAGCCCTCTTTCAATAAAAACTAGGCTTTCCCCAAAAGCCTCAGAGCGGGTTTGCACTGTCTCCTCTTACCTTTACAGTCTGTCGTGTGCCTGTGATGAAGGCTTTCCTTTTAGTCAACTCCATCGTATCCAGGTTGAATTTCCTCGGGTTTGATTCCACGATGCTTACGCCACAGTTAAGGAACAAAAAGATCACGGCACAACACATGTTGTGATCATGCTTAGTCACCCTTCCAATGTGTTATTAACCTGGAACTGTCTGTGAAACGGACATTGTTTACAGTGAAGCAGGAGAGGAATGTTCCTAACAGAATGTGCAAGGAATCTGAAACGCATCACTAACCGCCTTCAACCACGGAAGGTTCATTCGGCATCAAGGAAACACGCATGTTTGCTACGGCTTTAGTCAAATTCCACAGAAATCATATGACTAGCCTGACTTAAAGCACAGGACCTGTGCAAGCAGTCACTGAAAAACATGCATTAATGAAATTATGTAACATACCAATTAGCAACTCCATCTCTTTGTGGTTGACTTCGAGTGTGCATTTAAACCAAACTGCAAGGACTGGGCTATGTACAACAAGTGTATAACACACTTCACTGTCACAGCTCTTGGATCAGCTGACCTCTACTTTAGAAATGCCCAACCTACACTCGTATCTGGGTTTCCCAGTCTCCTGTTATTGGGCCCACTCGTGCTCTTTAGAGACCATCCCCATTATCAGACAGAGCCGTCTTCTGCGCTTTCTGATGAAGAGCTATTTCTAACTGTGCATTAGCCGATCAATTCACAAGTCATCAGCCATCAAAAGTAATCTTCAGCTGGAGCAAGACTCCGCAACACACAAACAGAATTCAGGGGATCCTGTGTGGACACAGTTCACCGTGAACCAGTCGAGACAGCTGAAGCACAAATCCTCCTCCTCCTCCAACATGACTATTCACCTTGCACAGCTATACGTGAAAGTGCCTTCCTCCTAGTGCAGCTCATTCACTGTACCATTGCTTGCCAAGCTCCCTCCCTTGGGCGCTCATAAACCCCACCCACTTCCTCGCACCGCCACCCTCTCACCCACAGCCTCCTGCCACTGGCTGGGAGAGAGGATATTGATGGTTTCGTCCAGGTCCTCCAAGTCCCACTCGATGGAGCGCAGGCTGTTGCGGAGCTCATTGGTGGTCCAGTCCACCTCCTCCTTGGTGGCGCTCCCGGGCTCCTGCAGCAGCTCGGTCCAGCGCTGGTACAGCCCCTGAGCCGTGTTCACCGCCTTCTGCACCTCCCTGCCGGCACACAGTGTGCTTCATCAGCTCCAACCTCGTGTGCTACACCGCGGGCAACGCATTCCGAAACCTCGTACCTCATGTTGACCCGTGAGCCACAGTTTTCTTGTAGAAACCAACACCAGATGCCGGAGGCTTCAAATCTATTTCCTTAGTTAATCTTGAAAAGATACGCGAGGGTATGCCAATAAACAACTTGGCAACTTAAACCTATCAAATATTAAGAAATGGATCAAGGAGTTATACAATGGGAGTGAGACCTGCTTCCTTTCGATCAGTCCAGGAACATGCGAGTACTCATACATGTGCAGTAGGGGTAATGCTGGAAAGAAAATTCCTCTGTGGACTGCACAAACTGTTACAGATGTGCTACATCAACACTGAAGCAGAGTGTCAATGTGTTCCTGCCAGACTAAACGCTTTATTGATGTGGACAGAGAGAGGTGGGTAGGAGCCATAGAGAATGTACTCTGGAGGCTTCCTCTGCACATCAAGGTCTGAAATTCTTTTTACAAGATGCAGGAAGCAATTTACTGGAAAGTACTTGAAGCAGGAAACCCAAATATATTTTGTGGGGAATACTACAGAATGAATAGGCCCATTGGAAGATGGTGATACCTGAAAGCAAAAAAAAAAAACACTGACCTTTATTTATGTTTGAATTTCTGACTGGATACCAAATAAGACAAATGTCTGATATTTGCTGGTAGCAGGACTAGGGAACACAATTTGCTCTAATGATAGGGAGCTGTTGGAAGAGGGGTTTTTGGGATCAATATGAGACGCTCACCCTGCAGTTTGTGTGGGTCCTAATTCCCCAATATAGTGATGGGGACACTATACTGTAAAATGCTGGCATCCTTCGGATGAGATGCAAAACCAAGGTCCTGACTCTCCGTGGTCATTAAAAATCCCAGGGTGGTTCTCGAGAAGGGTAGGGGAATTACCCCAGCCAAATTTCCCATTGGCCTTTATCAATCATCGCCTCCTAATAATCCCCATCTCTGAACTGGCTTCATCACTCTGTTCTCCTCCCCATTGAGAGCTGGTGTGTGGTGAGCATACTGTCGCACTATCGCTGCCGTCGCAGGTAGATGCTGCACATTGGCGGTGGAGGGGAGTCCCCATTACGTGTAAAGA